GCTCAGAAAAYAGCTCTAAAGAGTATAGGTTGTGCACAGATTTGGCAACAGTAATGGAGTGTTTGTCTCTAATTCTAATTGAAGTTCATCCTGTACTAGCAGGGACTACAATTTTCCACCATCTTGTGCAGCTGTGTGAAATGGAACAGTGGCATTCCTCTACTTCTCCAGCAGTATGTGCCTGCAATGCAAACATGGTGTACAAAAGAGTTGACTCAGATCATGGCCAAAATTCAGTACACATTAATTACTCACAGGAAGTTTTTCTTCTGTGCACTGAGAYGCATGGACTCTTATGAGTTTTTGACAACCTTTTTAAATGGAGGAAGAGCAGCAATTAGTGTGAATCCAAACCTGGCTGATTTTTTAATGGAAGACTAACAAATAACCCCTTTTTTCCCCTACAGAATCAAAGATAGATTCCTGCTATTCAATGTTATCACTCAAATATTTTCAAGTAATTATAAATCCAGTCCATTGCTAGTAAAATACCAAGCAGAGTACATTTACCGAAGTTTTCCCTCAGCTGAGCTCATATTGGAGTACTTCGATCTTCACTTCCCTGGATCCTCTTTTGTCTTTCCTCTTTCTAATGATATTCTAGTTTCAAAAGTGACACACAACGTATGAAGTAACAGTTATCTCCATGGCATAACTGCAATTTCATGGTGTAAGCCACGCTCCATATCGAACCCAGCACTTGCTGTGCGTCCCTACAGMTCTGAGGCAATCAAGCATGAGGTTGCTACCAGACCCTGTGCAGAGGATCAACAGGCATGGGGTCTACATCAAATGGGCGACTCTAAAAAGTAACATTTCCCTTGCTGTTCCTTACCTATAACTATGATTCATCAGTTCTTTCTTTCTTTTCACGAGTGTCTGGAGTTTTATGGCCACAGCACCTTCCCCAGGGGTTGCAGCTGCTGCAAGCCTCTATTTCCCACACCCCACTTTAAGGATTTCTTTCTCTTCTCAGCATTCTGCCAAGATTCTGCTTCCTCCAAACAGCTGATGAAGTTGATAAGTTACCTGMTAATTAAGTTAAACTGCCTGGCCAGGAAACTGAGTTTTTCAGTTTTTAAGAGCAAATGACAAAGATAAGAGTCTTGATTTAGTTAGCTACCTAAGCTGGAATTGATCTACTGTCCCAGCTCTCCCTGGATTCCTTTATCACAATGAAGGTTTAMCACATTAGTTTTTCACTCTCCTTATGAGACTTTTATTTTAGTTCTTCTGTCTWGCTTATTTTTCTTCCTGCACATTGTTGTTTCCATAAACCACAGACGACTTTAATGCTTCCTATTCTCCATTTAATTCTTTTTTTTGCAAATTAGGTTCATGAAAAGCTYCCAGTCGGTTTTATTGGCTTTGTTMTTTTCTATTGATTATTCCAGTCCTTTTAACACATTCCAATTGTTTTAACATACACTGCAGTTATTTTTAGGGACTTCCATTTGCATAGTCACCCTTCTTCACTAACAACCCTAAAGCCATGAATGGACCTGTCTGCATAACTTCCATCAGATTCATTCTATTCCAAACCGTTGGCTTTTACCAAGCAGTTCAGTCCGAGCTGTGACTGTAAAGCATTTACTGTGGTTACAAGTACTGGCATTCAGTCACCATATAAAATAAGCAGTAAGAATCATCATCCTGGGCTAGAAAAAGATCTGTCCAGGTCAGTGTATCATCCAGGTCACTTTCCAACAGTGGCCAAGAGCAGACAGGATACAAGAAGGGGCGAACATACAGTTCCTCTCATAAGCACTCTTTTGGCCTCCAATTATTTGCAGCTTGGGAACTTCTTCAGTCAGAAGTCTATTTACTCAGTACTCTCAAAGGATTTTTCTTGCATGAATTTGTCCAGTCATCTCCTTCTCTCCATGATTCACCTTAAAACACGTGTACAAAAATGAGCAATGCCACATGTTAAGTATGGTCAATAAACATTGAAAATGTCAATAAAAATATTCAAAAAGTGTACTATCTATAAACAAAATGACACTAGTTTGTTTTTTAAAATATATACAGAGCAAACATTTGAACTAATCAAAACTATTTATTACTATCTACGTATGAGAAAATATATTAATACCATCAACATGCTTTGCTTCCAAATGCCAGGCAGCAATTTAAAAATACTCAAATTTGCATGGACAATAGCACAAGACAAACATGCTCTCATTGAAGTTGGGATTCCAGGATTTATTCCTGAATTTAAAATCAGAGACATTCCTCACTGGAGATTTTAGGAACTTTTTTGCTGCAGTTTCCCCGATCTTAGTGAAAGATATCCAACCAGAGTGGACATCTGACATTCCATMCACCAACTCTCTCACTAAAAGTAGTGTGTTTCACTTGATTTAAACCCTTCCAACACTGCTTCTTGCTTCACCAGAGCTTTTACTGGAAGATTTGCTGTCCAGCTTCCTCCCACTGTCAGAAGGACCAGGTAGGGATAAGTCAAAGAGAACAACTCTGTTGTCTTGCCTTCAAAGATGGCTGCCAGGCACTCTAGGGCCACTATTTTCTGAAATGGCTATATAAATTCCCCAAACCTTACAATCAACTAAAGATATAAATAACAGAAATCTTGTCATGCTCTTCACAATAACATTTAAATTGACATACTATCATGTTCAGTATTTCATAAACTTCTAATGAAATTGTAAAACTACAACACTCATGTTTGCAGAAATAAAGGGAAAATGGCTACTGGAATTAATTTTGGGCTCTATGTCTACTTTATTATGGTTTCACATTCTTTTTCCTTGAGTATTTCTTTGACCAGTTCAACTTCATACAGTATTTATAAAAAACTGCTCAGAAGTGCCTAGCGCTCTGAACCAATTTTTACTTTATCTCCTCCAAATCCTTGCTAATATGTCATATTCTTTAAACAACATGCAGATAAAAAAATATAACATTTAAGTGGTTGTAAACACACAGGAGACAAGATATATTAAACTGCTAAGGAAAATAAATATAATGCAGTATTTATACATGAAGTCAAGTGTTACACTTAAGTACAGAAAGCAAATAGAGCAGCCAAGAATCTGAGCTGAGAATTGAATAGCTCATCCTTGAGATGTAACAAATATTTCCTAAATTTTTTGTTTATTTTAGAAATGTGTGACAACTGCTAAAACATAATTGTACAGTCATTGAAGCATTGGACCTGTACAGATTTCTACTGAAATGTCTCTGTCAGAATCAAAATGGGCTTTCCCTTAACACAGTTTATGAAACAGTATCACTGATCAGTGTTTTCCCAGACTGTAATACAGAGATTCCTGAAAATCCTTGTCCTGTGAGGGGCCAGTAAAAAGTGAAACAAAAAAGTCTCTAAGCAGGAGCCTTGAATTCACTGCATGGAAGGATGCACCTCCACTTCAAGCAYCAAAAAATACTCAAACTCAGTGTGTTAAACAAATGGTATTTTAGCAATTTTACTGCTAGACAGGTGTCTTTGTGAGTACAGGGAAACCCTAGTCTAACGCAGATAGAAACTAGTATAGGGAGGATGTTTCGTAAGGCAATCTGCAAGCTTCAAAAATGACAGAATACAATATAACACCACCAATATAACACCAATTTCTCGGCAGAAATTCTCAAGTTTGAGGGAACACAACCACATCACCTCACTCAGATAATAAAATGTAATTAAGATATGCAAATGAATGAGGTACAAAATCAAACATCAGATTCTGGAAATCTCCCTCCCTTTCCAAAGCTGTTTTGCAGATTTTACTTCTTCACCTTTCAGCTGCTTTGGTAATCACATTTCATTGCTGTGAAAATGCTTAAGCTGAAGTTGCAAAGTACAGCAATGATGTAGAYTGCAAAGTACTTAGGATTAGGAGACTGCTTGGAAAAGGAAGCAACATGATCATCAAGTGAGGTCAAGCAGGTACAACCCAACAGAACTCAGTAAATCAGTCTATTAATGACAAACCAAGGGGATAAGCAGCACTCAATTTAGCTGCACCAATATTACAGGGTTAGAAGGAGTAAAACACAAATATGTATTTACAACTTTGAATTCTTTCAAATTCTTTTTCAGGTGAAGACACAGGCCAGCCTCATCTTTCTCTAGGGCTTTGTCCAGAGCTCTTTCAGGTGTCAATATGCTCTTGGAGAATAAGACAGGCTGAAGTAGGTGAATTCAAGCTTTTCCTGGTTTAACAGTCCACAAGAAACATGCAAATCAAGATTGAAGAAGAAGTACATAGGAGTCATCGTAAGATTAAAGTATGGCACAAAATATCTACACAAACTAATTTTGAAATTGTTTTCAGGACCACAGCAGATGAAGGTAGCTGCAGTATCTCTACAGCAGCTCTGTTCTCTGTGGTATTCAATTTCTCCTGCATTACCAAGCCCAGATGGAACATACCATTACTGTTCTGTGTCATCCCATGGGTGGAGGGGAGAGGCAGGAAGAAAAATCATTCATTTTCGCAATTGGCAACTTTAACTTACTACTTTGGTGCACAGGAAATATGATCAAACTAAAAAATTCTTCTGTTTTCAGGCACATCAGCTCCCTAAGGGATACTTAATAAGTATAATCTCACCTTTTCCTCACTCAAGCTGTTTTTAATCTAGATACCAATGGGAAAATTCCAAGGAAAAATAACAACTGGAACACATGCTTCTTTGGAGGGCTTTCAGCTTTCCCATCATTTCTCTATTATTTCAGAGATACTAAACTCACAAGACTGGATTAAAAACCCACTGTGTTCAGCTCTGTGAGGCACTGTACAGTGGTGGCACTCAGGATGGCCACGTGCAGTGCTTTCAGCCCAACACAACCTCCTAACCCCAGCACTACTACCAAGATCTGTGAAGAAATTTCCAGAAGAAGCCCATATAGTTTTTCTCCAGTTCTTACGTCACAGGAACCTAAATATGGACCTTTTAAATATTTTTAATGTCCTTTACATGTAGGTCTTTGCTAAACAGCAATGATCTTACCATGAATAATGTGAGAAACAGGCATATTATTGTCAGGGCTGTGATAATCTTGAAATATTTTTATTCAGCTGCACCTAAACAGATCATTCCAGACAGATACATACCAGACAGATCATATCCAGTTGGGTTCCAGAATCCTACAAGTATTTAAAGATGAAACAACCACAAAGTAAGGACAACACTGTGTCTTAAAAATTGTATATGAAATACTGAATTTAATAGTTTCATGAGCTACAAAAATGACATCAAAATTTCACATTATGAATACAGTAAATCTTTCAGAATGWATCACTTACATTTACAGATGATAACATTTTACATGTAGAATTTGGTCTCTGCACCTAATTAAAACAGCATTTATACAGTTTTGTACAGCACTGAGAAAACATTTTTAAGGTAAAATGTAATAGTCTTTTTTCAYTGCAGTATTGGCATATGCTATTCCTTTTCACTTTGCAAACTAAAAAGAACTTTTGAATAAAGCAAATAAATCCTGTAAACTTCCATTTAAATAAAMCACCTGTACAGTTCAAATCCAACGTGAAAGGCAGTTATTAAAAATGTATCAAAAATGTTCAGCAAAATGTCTGGACAAATGTCTTGGTAAGCTCTGGTTTTTGTCCAGCTTCCATCAGCTTTCTCCTGAAAGATGGAAGTATTTTCTGTCACCAGTCCATATGCATCAGATTCAGTTTCTAAATTATTCAAGTAGAATGGAGATCAATTTTGCCACCACGTGTACATTGAGGCTGTTTCCCAGAAGACGATAACATTGCTTTATTGTTACCTTTTCAGGAAAACCTAGAACAAAAACATACAGTGCAACATCACTACACTGGGTTTGTTCCTACTTTTTAGTCTGACCCTTTTTTTCAGYGAACATTTCTTAATGCAGTTATCAGGGAATGCAGCAGGATTCACCCTCCCTCGAGCCCCTCCCCCAAAATTCACAAAGTTACAAAACCAATTCATTGGATTTGGATCAGTTCTTCTATTACCAATACTGCCACCTCTAAGGTTTCACAAGAAGCTTCAAAACATTCCTCTRTTGTGTAACTATTGCTGATCTACCTTCGCTTCAGAGAGCACAAAACATCCAGTAGTCTTAGGGAGGGGCAGCAGCACTAAATCCCTGCACAACTGCTACTCTAGATAACATCCCCAGAGGAACATGGCCACAGCAGAAAGAAAATGTGACAATTCCACAGATGGATTGAACTGCACTTCTCAACATGCTTAATACTGTTCTTCCTACATGATGCCCTCTAACCAGTTCAGGCAAATCACGTGTCTATCAGTGCAATACACCACCAGCACAGATGAAATGATGAGCAAGGCTTATTCAGTGAGTAATCAAGCAGTCRAACAACTTTCCATGTAATAAAATGCTCACCCTGTTAAACACACTCAGAAATACAGACAGCATCAGAAATATCCTTCCCATATTAAGTGCATGGACTRGCAGAAAGGAGTAAAAATTACACCAGTCCAAATATTGGGAAAGGGCTGTGTTGTGTACTGAGTACCAAGGTCCTGAGAGCAAAGCAGTTTTGAGCAGCCAGCTGCTCTGCTCTGTCCTTGCTTGCACTCTTACCTTACTCCAACTGTGAGGTAAAGTGCATTTGCTTCAACCTGAGTGAGAGATGGACAGCAGTGCTGACTTAACTGTTAGGGTCATATATAAGTCAGCAGTGCTGACTTAACTGTTAGGGTCATATAACTGACCACATTCAGTTATTTCATCATTCCCTAAGAAAAATTACCAAACTGTGACTCAGAGGTCATCACCACCCCAATTAGCTCAGATGCATAAGCACACTGTGTGTGCAAATAGTGATATCTATGCTTTGAAATTTTCACAACTTTTCAGAAAAAATTCTCTTCCACAGAGCTCAGGAGAGAATGTGGCTGGACAGCTGTTGAGTCAAAGGAGGCTCTGAGGAGGAGGTGGTGTCTGGGAGGAGTTGTTCCATYCTTCTCTGCCAGTTATTAATGCCTCGAATGTGGACTGCTTCAGTAAACACATCTTCTGCCAGCTCCATCTACTCTGCCCAGCTTCCTGGCACTCACATTTGGGCAACTGCTTTTCTCTTTGGAACAATTACTTGCACTCCCACACAAACTTACTTAGATATAGTTTTCACATTCCATTGATGAATAAGGTACAGAATAAAAGCATTTTAAAAGAGCACATGAAAATAAATATGTATTTCTGCACACACACATGCACTTATGTGCACTTACAAGCCTATCCGAATASTGAAAATGTCAAAATTTCTCCTTCTATCTCTTGGGAACTGAAAGCCAAGAATTGTTTTTCAGAACTCATGGTTTCCTTTATCCCAAACCTCCTCCCTCTGACTGTTAACATTGTCTTGCATCTTCTATCTTCTTGGTTTCAGAGTAGCCTATATCAGAAGGTCAGATTCAACAACTCCCACTATRCTGGCACTTGCTGCACAGCTCTCACTGTAGCATTTATGTCACACACAGTACTTGATGATATTGAGGTCTTAACAGCATGTACTGCCCCATGCTGGCTTTTGTTCCCTAAAAGCTTGCATCAATTGCTAATAAGAAAAACGGAAAACACATTCTGACATTACTCTCATGAAAGCAGGTCACAGGTGCAAGAATGCTCCGTTCACTTTTAATAATATTGCTGTGGGACCCACCAGAGTGACTAAGACAAATCACTCCAGTATTTCATTGAAYTATAGTGCAATTACTATTTATACATTTAGATGTTAAAAGCACAAATAAATCTAGTCATGTTAAGAATGAACAATGACTTTAACTCTAGACCTCGCATATTGGAAAAGGCCATCAACTTCTTAAAACACAGAACCATTTAGACAYGATCACATTTCTTTTGAGATACTGTAGCTGCACTAGTAACAGCATCTGTTACAAAGCTCCTGAAAGTCTGTTCACATCGTTTTTCAGCTTATAGTTTCCTCATTCTTTAGTTTTTTGGACMAACAACATATTTGCAGTGGGTACAATTCCAAGACTTCGGGTTTTGAAAATTTTAGCCTAAATATTGCTGTCACAGAACAGCAGAGAACTTATAACACATTTTGCTCTGAGAATATCATATTTCACAATAATTACTGGAAGTTTAACATGGGAGAAATGCTGTCAGGGGAACACCCTTTGCAGCAGCTATAAATATATCCACTTCCAAAAAACCCCAGAGCTTCAAAATTTTAAAGGAAAYTGAGATTACAGTACCTAAATTCACTGAAGATTTCAATCAGCTTAGAGTCAAGTAACAMTTTTTTAAGCAAAAAATGGGAAATATTTTAAACACAAAGAAATGTCAGCCTTGTGACTCAATGTAGWGGGAAAAGTATGTTCTGCCTATGAATCAGGAGTATAATCAAGAGGAAACCACTGAATGAGAGAGAGGCTTGCTTTATGTGTCATCAAAGTTGAAAAAATAGTATAGAGAGGGAAGAGAACTGCAAAAACTGTAAAAGTTGTAATACCAACTGCCATAATTCTGGAAAAAGGGTACTGTCCCCTGAGAGGTGGAATCCCAGCCAACAGAAGATAGGTCTGCTACATGAACACATTGTACATGGTGATCATCTGGATAATCCTGAAATTCAGAAGCCTGACTTGTCTTCAGAGCTCAGTTCTSGTTTGCAAAAATACTGAACCTCCCAGGTGTCTCTGCAGAAGGGCTCTTAACAGAAAGCATGGTATGAACCCAAGCACTATGAAATTATAAAAGTTGGGTTTCGCAAACTGCTCACCCCAAATTAATGGAGTCTTCCAAATACAAATTTCTCAATTGTCTCAGTTCTCCCTGTGTAAAATACAAGCAACATTAATCTACTGCACTTCTCAGTAATGTTGCAGACTGATTCAAGAGCTGAAAAACTCCAGCTGTATTTAAAAAAGAGAGAAAATGGACAATTCAGTGCTCAAAAGAGATCTTGAGCAGCATGATAAGCCAAATTCAGCTCTGTGAAGTTCAAATATCTTGACATCAGCCTACATGAATATGGAACAGAGCTGTGCTAAAAGGCTTTCTGCAAATAGAACAGAGAGAAGAGAGGCTCTGAAAAAACACTRYATGTTGGTGTGTGACAACACAGCACATGCTTGCAAATACTCACAAACAYGWAAGCTTAGTGCTGGCAACTCTAGTTTCACTGTGCAACCTTGATMGTGTTCTCCACATGYAGCAATTTTGAATGTAACCRGTAATAAATGCAAAAAAACCTAAAACTATGAAAGAAACAAATACMGAGAAAAAAGACACTCCTCAGAACTGAGGAAGTCAAAGGAAAATATAACGTTACTCAAGGTAAGTGCTGTCTTACTCTTTGAGCAATCTGGTCTAGTGGAAGTGGGTTGGAATTAGATGATCTTTAAAGTCTTTTCAAACACAAATCCTTCTATGATTTCATGGATGATTTTGTTGCTGAGTGACAATAAATTAATCTGATGGGACATCATCAGGTCAGTTCCTCAGCAGATAATAACAGTTACACTTTCCTGCTTGCCTTTTTTTACAAGGAGGATTCTAATAAATTTATTTCAGGTTTTTTTTGATGTGTATCCAGTGTATTGGTACTGCTGAGTCTTGTTCCTTGACTCCTTCTTCACAGAAACACTTGGAAAATGAGGTAACTGACCTAGGGCTGCCATTTCTAGAACACAGAGATGGCTTAATAGATTGGTCACTCCTCAACAAAGAATTGTCTGTAYCATCTCAAATTCCATTTCTGTCAGCAGCTGTAAATGTGGAATGGAGAAAGCAAGCAGCTCAAATGCAGAGAACCACAAACAGACCTACTAAGCTGGCAGGATATGTTGATTTATCACAGTTGTGAGTAACTGGCTGCTGAGTAAATAGTTTCAACTATAAACAATGGTATTCCTTCAATGTATTTCACTAACAGAGCATTTTGCATGCCAAAACCTTCTTCTTAGCTTATGAAGATAAACCTTACCACAGAAGCTGGCTCTGACAAAACATGAAAAAAACTAGTGGAAATTCAGAGAAATTCAAAGTTAGCCAAATAACAAGAATCAAACAAACATAAGAACTGAGCGGTCTGAAAAAAAATGCAAAATAAAAAGAAAGGATTAGTCCCAGTATAAGAAAATTCATTGGCATTTCTGMAGAATAATGTAGAAATGGGTACTTAGCAGTACATACCAAATTCTGAAGGGAATCCATGAAGATTTGCTATTTCTCTTGGGGTAAAGTACCTCAGTTTTAGTGTTGACAATTTCATAAGCTTCTCTGCTTCTGGTAACTCGTCAATGTGTTTAAACACTGATTCAAGCTATGAAGAATATAAAAGACAAGAGATATGATTAATGTGAGCCAAATATGTAAAATTTACACTTACATGTTAAGAGAACATTTCTTTAATTATCACAGTGCCAAAGACAACAGCATGTTTTGCTTGGGAGTATCATTTACATTCTATTTTTGCAGCCAACATCTCAACACRTGGACTTGCAAGAAAGAAATCAATGTAGCCATGAGGATGTTTATCATTTCTTCCTCCAGTTCCAAGCTATACCAATACTTAATGGGACAATCAAAGAACTACAAACATTTGTTAATGACAAMGGACAGTGACTCAGTGTAACTCAACAGCAGACCATTCATACAAATTAAGCTGTATGGATGCAGCTGTTTTAATGCACTCACTTTGAGATTATCCTGAATTCCAGAGCTGCATTCTTCTTATGTGTAGAAATGACCCATAATATTTGTGAACAGCACAAAAGTGCAGGAGGCAGGGCTTGTGTACAAAAYAGGCTTTGTGAAAAGTATCTTTGAATGTTGATTCACCAGTACATTTATTACCTTCCCCAATGCCTAAATACCACTTTGCAATAAACTTAGTATCAACAGTAGACCTTTTCAAAATACTCCCAGATAAACAATAATTTTGAAGTTCAAACAGGTTAAACATCTGACAATATTTATTAATTCATCTGTGTACAGAAAACASCTCTCGATTCACAATGCTGTACTGCAGCTTCTCCATGGAAGCAGTAATTTTTAATGTTTACACATACCCCTGTGAAGCCTCTGTATGACATGACACATAATAAAATAATAGCAACTCATATTCTCCACMCAGAGATGTACAGAGACAATTTGGTCTAAACAAACTTCTGTTTAGGAAMACAAAGTAAACCAATTGGAAACTCAGGCGCCACTCTTATAATATTCAGAATAACAAAGAAGAGAGAAAAAAACCCACGCTTTAAAACAAGTGTCAAGTTTTAAAACAAGTCATTCTAGTATGTTAGACTACACACTTACCTGGACATCTACTGCTGTCTGCAGAACTGAGCCAGTCCCTTCCACATAGTGTCCATACCTTAACAACAACAACAACCTTAAATTAATATTTTAATTGGATTTCCTAGCATTGACAACTGCAAAGATGTAATGAGGTTATTTAAGGCTCCTTTGCCTTGATTATCAGTCTCCTGGACAGATAAAGCAAGGGGCCTTGTTACAAAATCCACTAACCCTTGGAGTGCAGTACTCTCTGAACGTGCTCTCTGGGGATGAGCCTGCACTCACAAGCGAACAAGGGTATATCCACAATAGTGCCTTATACAAGGCAACTACAAAAATGACAAGGAATTCAAGCATAGGACTGCCAAAAAGAGTCATCTACATTGCCTCAACCGATTTTACATTAATGTAAAATGTGTTAAAGGTCAAACGGTCCCAGGGGTTCAAATTAGCTCTCCTTATTCAAAAGAGGGCCACTAGTGTAAGCCTCCAGCTTCCAAGTCAAAGCATTAGGAACAAAGCAGTTCAGTCAGGTTTAACTTTTGCTTGCTTGTGGATTTGCCACTTAAAGAAGGGAGATGGCCAGGCAACTATGCAGAACAGAACAAGAAAGAAAGAAAAGAAATATTAAATCCAAGTAAACAGTAAGCAAAGTTACATTCTGAAACCTATGATCGCTGTTCTGCATGCTTTGTGGTTGATTGCATAACAACATGWTTACTCTGTAGTCTCTTCAAGGCTATCATTTAAACATAATTATGTGCTTTAAGAAACATGCTCTGTTGGTCTGACTATGGTGATTTGAACATTCTGAAGAGACAGAGACTGAGTCATGACAACATACAGTTTTGCACTGTGGAAGAACTTCAAAAGATCTGCATTAGAGGGATGCGGCCTGCACCAATTGTTAACAGATACTGTTCTCTGGTTTTATCTGTACAATTGTAATGACAGTTATAAAGGTCTTCTGTTTGGGACCCATTCCTAAAGCATGGCACAAGTTATWTTTCAAGCCTAATTCTACATAGAATAAAAGAATACTCTCTCTTCAGCACAGACACAATGACCCARCACGGCTCAATCTTGAGTATTTCATCCTCAGCTGAAAAAGCTTACAATTTGTTCTGCCAGTAACAGCCAGAGGAGCACTCATTTTAAAACAAAGTGCTCACAAATCTTCCTCGGGATCAGAAGACCTAAACACTGACACAGATTAAATACATGTGGAATCGAACTGTGYTGTAAATATATCATCTTTAATTGGTTAGTTGCATTCTGAAAATTCCCTAACATGAAGTTTAACAATGTAACMCCCACAGCACCGAGGAATCCTCATCCTTTTCCTCTTACATAGCATCTGATCATATTTCAGTTTAATATAACTGAGCCAAAATAAATAAATGAGGTAAATTTCAAAGTGGTATTGAAGAGTTTTATTGGGAGAAATAAATACTTCTATCTAAATAACTGGCACTGGAGTATATAACTCATCTCCCCCCCCAAAAAAGACTGCAGTTGGTGTCCATGTGGTTTGGCAGCCATGTGTGTGTGTGTGTGTGTGTTGGTTTTTTAACACAATTGTGGCATATGGCCAATGTAATGTTAGCTGGATTGTTATTCATTATTATTGAAACTGCTGACTACAGAAAAGTTAACATTCCTACCTTAGACCCAGAATATAATTAAATTTTGTCACAGTAAAAAAAGTATTGATTTTCTGACATTTCATTACAAGGTATAATGAAAGAAGTTGGCTTAAGAAATTACAGTCTTCAATTTTTATCTGATTCAAGATTCCCCCCTCCTTTATTTCTATAAAATTWAAAAAAACCTTTTCATTTCATACATGTATTTTTTCTGGGTATRTTGTGTTCTACATTATGAGTGAAAAAAAGCTAAATTCTACAAAGTCAGAGACTGCTTCTGTAATTGATATTTACACTACTTTGAATGGTATCGCATCTCTTGCCAATAGCATTTCAAAAATCTAAAGTATGTCCAGAATGATTATATACCTAGAGAAGTTAGATATAATCTTCATTTCCTCTGTCCTTTAAAATAGACAATTTCCTCTCAAAACTTCAGTCAATGCAAACATACTCCATGGTGTTGGCAGTCTCATGGAACTCAGCAATCATTCACTCAGTGCCCAGGAATCCAGTGTCAAAAGGGCACACAGAATTACCTGCTTGATCTCTTATGCATTACAGGTCATTACATTTTGCTGTATACTCCACCAAAGCCYTTCAGAAGACATACTTCTGCAAAGCAAAATATCAGTGTTTGAGGTCCCTGAATTAGCAAGGACTGGAGAAGGCATATCCAGATTATTTCTATCACATAAACCTTGCTCGAAATATCCGAAAACCAAAGACAGAAGAGGACAATTTTTCTCCAACTCTCAAAGCTGATGGTCAGTGAGACTTACAAGAAAGGCACCAGACAGGCGTAGCAGCAGAGGGATTCCCTCTACTGCCTGAAGTGCTGCTCCTCACCATTCAGGGGTCTTTTTCCTAAATCTCATGCTTGAGAGAAACATAAAAACAGAGCTGCTGGAACAGATACAGCAGGGACTTATTCTGGGCCTCAGAAAGGGATTTTGATGAGATGTAATAATAAACCTTCTCTTAATGGAGAGCTGTAAATGAGATGATTACACTGAGAACCACACTGGCAACCTTCCTTCCCAAAGGGTCTTGAAAAGGGGAAGCAAGATGGTAAATCAGAACTACTACAACTACATCCATATCAGCAGAGGAGTAAAAGTCACACTTCCCCGGTGTCAAATTTCCCACCGCTTGATATTAACTACTCAGAAGCCTCCTTCAAAGTGATTTTGATAAGCATGACCACAAACTACCATGATGTATTCTAGTGAAACCACAAGTGGCCAATTACTTTTGATGACACTTAAGGCMTACATAAGATACTTGAGACACAATTCTGGCCTAAGGGCTTTTTTGGACTATTCTGGTTAAGAAAGAAATCTCATAAGATGCTGATTCCCCCACAGCTCAAAAGAAGGAGGGTAGAAAAGGCACATCCATATTTATCAATGAGAGCTGGGGGAAGGCCATTCCTGTTGCACAGATTTTGAACTTTCAAAATCTTTTTCTTCTTTTTTATTGTCAAAAAGTTAAAAATCAAAAACTGCAGGAATTCTGCCAAACTGGTAGTCTAATTTCTACTAATTAAAAGAAAGTTACAATCAGCTTTAACTCATCATCCAAGCCATTTTATTGAAATATTCAGCAAATTCAAAAAAACAAACCAATTAGAAAAATCTATCAGTGATAAAAATTCCCACATATTTCAAGGCTCCAACTGGAACGTTTCACTAAAAGTGCATTCCATGGAAAAGCTCCTCACCAGTTTCAGAACACTCACCAGCTTCCAGAAGTCAAACGTTAAATTGCAAGGTACAAATCAGAAAACTACTAGACAGAAAAGCACTGACGTTCTGCTCCATCAAATATGATTTGAAATGCAGTAACCTAACCAGTTTCATGACAATCTACAGCTATTCTGATCTACACAGCTGAAAATTCCAAGGAATCAATAAAATGTACAGCGGAGACAGATTTAATGAGGAATGGATCTGTCATGCATGACACTTTGTAACTTCATTGAGCAATATAAAGAAATTCATTAATGAATCAGCACTATACCAGTCTACTGGAACCATATTTCCGCAGGGGTAATTAAGCTTCTGTGAAGGTCAACAACAAATGGCAACTGTCTTTTGTGAATGCTTTTTTGGAGTGGGCACATGTTGTTCTGCCAGACAGATTCTCATGCTGGCATTCCACTGGACCAGCAAGCACACGATGTAAGGAGATTTCTTTCAAAGGCCTAGGATTTTTTGATGAAACACTTCTCTGTGATTTTACAGGACTTAYGTAAAAATACACTTAAAATTTCAGGACATGATTTAGCAAGACATTTTCTCAGCAACTTACCCTTTTGTGAAGCATGTGGATCTCCGGCAGGTGGGTTTAACAATGTCTAACAAGAAAGCATASCGCAATAAGGACTTTGGTGGTAAGAAATACTGACTCATTTCTTCATTTTCCTCTTCCAAGAARTCTTTTAGCATTTGAATAGAGGAATCATTATCCTGCTCATGTTTCCTTTCCATTTCTTCTACTGTTTCAAGCTTAAATAGAAAGGCCCCTTTTGGTAAAATCTTCTTGCTGCTGCAATCTGGACCAGTGTTTTGTTCCAGATTCTTCTCTTTGGASGACAAAGAACTGGTTTCATCCACTCTGTCAGTGACTTTTTTCCTGAGTAAATCTTCTCGATCCTGATCTGGGAATTTTGTCAATATCTAAGAAGAAATTGTGACAAAAATAAAATTAAAGGACTGTATTTAATAAACAGCTTGACTGACAACCACAAAGTGAGGTGGAATTCCTTCAGAGATGCTCAGAATAAACCAAGGAACCTTTTGATGTTATTTTCACAAAGATTTCAAAAAACAGTAGCATCAACATTTGTTGACCTATAAGCAATGATGTCAGGTACARCCACAGATAATTGCCTTTGCAAAAAGACTTTTCCAAGTGTGTAAAAAATGTAGCAGTATGACCTGTTTCCTAGCCCACTAGCAGGCTAAAAARCACCTCTCCCAACTATTTACAGCCATCTAAACCACATACATGCACATTAGTCCTTACAAAACTCAATATCCAGGCTGAAAAAAGGAGACAGAATTTAACTTTCCGGTTGGTATCACTCATCTCTCTTCTCCATTCATCAACACACACCACTAAACTGAAAATCTAACCTTCACCCTTCATGAATTAAGTCAGTCCAAGTAATACAAATAGACTCACTTGACCAGGAGCTTGAAAGGAAAACGGTTCTTGGTGAAGCTTTGCAATTAGAAAATACCGGAGCCTAGAATTGGGAATGCCAAGCTGTAATCAAAATTCAGAAGCCTTTAGTCCATGTGATAAGGAGTGAAAAAGTGGTCATACAAGTGATCTGCCATTACATGCAGTAACAGAACTACAGCATATGAATATATTTTATGACTTCAGAGGCATCAGCATTCATAGAGACAGAGACTCATAGAATAGTTCGTGTCGGAAGGGACTTGAAGGTCATCTAGCTCCAAGGCCCCCACTGTGGGCAGGGACACCTTCTACTAGACTAGGTTGCTCAGAACTCCATCCAAGACAGCCTTGAACATTTCCAGGGATRGGGCATCCACAGCTTCTCTGAGATCTGTTCCAATGTCTCATCACCCTCATCATAAAGAATTTCCTCCTAATATCTAAACTAAAACTCTTCTTTCAGTTTGAATCCATTTGCCCTTGTCCTGTCACTACATGCTCTTGTAAAAAGTCCCTCTCTGTCTTTCTTGTAAACTCCCTCAAGGTACTGGAAGGCTGCAACTGGGTCACCCCAAAGCCTTCTTTTTTTCCAGAGTATTCTCTAGGTATTAGCTGATAATACCTAAACACTTCTGACTTCCGTACTTAGGTATTCTTTGTACCTCACGGTTTGGACTTTCTCTGCAAATGAATAGGAATGTAAACAAAATTTTATGTGATACTGGAAGAAATATTCACATGCTTCACAATTTCTTGGGACAGGTACTATCTGTTTTCTGTTAAATACAAAAAGGTCTCTCTATGCCTTCTTGAACAAGGAATTTATAAGACACCTACAGTTRAATAAATCTACCACCCCTGGTTTTCAAGCTACAGTCTATTAGCTTCTCTCAAATATTTACGGTACTTCACTGATTCCAGTTAGTCTTGCACAATCTAAAAGGTCTCTCAAACTTTTTTCAGTTGTCATGGTAACATGGAAACAAAGCTCCTCCTCCCACAAGAAACAGTCACATTTTCTGTGCTGGGAAATTCAGAGGCACRGCGCTTCTGAAGCAATGAGGCTCCTGCAGGGAAAACCACCTTCCTGCTTACAGTGTGARTCCATGCCTTCTTAAAAATATCAAATGGCAGCAAAGCAATATGTGACTAGGATCTGAACACAAACAGCAATAAAATTATGCCAGTATGAGAAATCAGAAGTCATATCAGATGGTTTTCTCATTCAAGTGTATCTTCAGTTTTGGGCATGAGTCTCTTTTCTAAYACAAAGGACAATTTTCAAATGTTCATGGACTTAGTGCACTTCGAACTGTTAAATAACATTAGAGCAATTTTAGTACTCACACAAGTTGGAGACAAGAGAAATTCCTGATGTTTAAATCCACATGTTGCTAGTGTTTGYAGAAGTTCATTTCTGAAAAGAATCAAAAAGCAATTACTCCCTTCATACAATCTTTAGCCCCTTTTTATATCCCAAATAAAAACAGATTCCATTCAACATCATATTAAYGAAACCATTCCCTGAAATAATTGGACAGCAAATTATGTCATCCATTTCTGAATTTGAGAGACCACATACAAAGTTCAGTGTTAGRGACTGTTATACATTCAAAGGCACCTCACTCCTACTACAGTGCAAATGTCTCCTGATAAAGCATCCCATCACTAGCAGAGTAATTGYAGTGTGTCACATGAAAAGTAATCAGAAGGCAAGATACACCTTTTATTGGGAATCATAAAGCAGGAGACTGAAATCGGTACAGATAGCTCTCTACTTCCTTCTGCTCAAATACACAGCTAAGCCTAACAAAAAGGTTAACTCATGGGACGACAAAAATTGGGGGCTTTGATTATAAAAGTGAGGTAGGACTGTACTTTATAAACAATGGAAAAAGACTGTAAGRGAAATAATCTTAAAAAGACTTGTCTTTTGTATTCCATACAGACTGCACTAGGCTGGAACTATACAAAAGGCAGGAGCTGTGACCTGTACCCAGCACTGTATGTGAGACTGCATCCCAAGAGTCATAAGAGAAAACAAGTGTCCTGASTGGGGTGTTTTCTGAACTACAGCTTGTCCCGAGCACTGGCCAACAAGGCACAGCCTAGGGAATCTCTGGGTCTACAAGTGAGGACCATGAACACTCGACGAGTGAGAGAGCTGAGTGTGACTCCCAGTTGCCTGCCATATTCATTAAGAGCTTGATATGCTGGGTGGCTGCTCTCTTGGTGCTTTAAGGAATGCTGTGGAAAGATCCTACTCTRTTCCAGCAAGAACTGAGAAGGAAAACTACAACTCTATCTCCTGCCCTGGTCACAAGAGAGGAGAGTGCTCCTGCTGTCATTAGGTAATTGTAGTGACACCTTTCTTCTTCCACATTTTAGACCAAGACTATATACAATCTTACTGTATCTCTGGACTGTTTGATGGCAGCTCCAAAAAAGGGATAATCTACTRTCAACAAAGGTACTCAAGAAAGCCCCTAGAGTGTTCTAGGACCTTAGCACAAGATACCATGCACTCCTGTCATGATTAAGCCCCTGAAGTCTCTGAGTGTTACAGCTATTGTGATTTTTCTTTGAAAACGAATATTGACCTTTCCTAAAGGAAACATGATCATCAAATATTCATCAAATCATCAAATAAAATTAAAAATACTGTTGCAATGTATTTTATCTGCTCAGAGAAATAAACAGTTATATAGCAAGTTCTTTTCACACCAAAGAACTTAATTCCTGTCCCACTCAAGCTATTTTGTTAACTCAAATTCTAGGAAATAAAAATCCTGTCTAAAGAATAAATACCTTCTCCTTCTAAAGAATATATCCTTTTTGCAAGCTAAAACCTCCATATATTAATTAGAGTTTACCTTGCAGAAGAGGATTCAAATCCTTTAACGTTTTCTAAAAGTAGGTATTTTGGAAGCTTCTGAAGCCTACAAGGAAAAAGAAAAAAAAGAGCAGATCAGAGTAACAAGATGTAAAGTACATTAGATTCATCCACAGATTCATTTAGTTACCAGAAAGATCAAAGCAGTTCCACATCATGTTAGCTGTTAAAGTTTAGCATCCTTAAAAAATGTCCCTCAAATCATTGCCAACTGAATTAAAAACRTGGACTGCTGGTAAAAATCACAAACCCCAACTATGTTCAGAAGAACAGCTGTACCTTCTTGTACTCCATGCATGTACTTTTGAAAATGGTTATCATTGTTCATTTCCTAAAGCACAAAAGTATTATTTAACAGATTAACTGTATAATAGGAAATACAATTGTTAGGGGAACAGCGATTGCTACTTAGCCATATAACTGTTGTTTTCAAGTGCTTGTACCYGAAATCAATGTCAAAATGTCACATCAGCTTTACTGATAACACATCAGAACCAGTATTCATTTAATTGATTTAAGAAACACAACATGTTTAGAGTTCAAACTGAAGATGTTCTCAATTTTCTATACCTAACTGATTCATTGTGATGGGGAGAAGGGAAGGAGGCGTCTGGGCTTTAGCAAGATCAGTGCAAAGGTCTGGAAAWAGGCACATTCCAAAACTAGCATATTAAATCTCTAGAGAAATAAATATGCCCAAACTGTGCCAGGGACTGTTCCAACAATTTAGAAGCATAGATGATTCAGATTCAAGTCTCTGGGAACATTCTGTGGCAATGATTAATTCTCTAATAAGGCTAATGTAGACACAGAATGTCTCTCACACACTGGGATCTCAGAACAACATACAGAAGCAGGATATTAATGCCCCCAGAGAGCAGCTCCATATTTATTGAAGTTAGTGACTTTGGACTTCCATTGGAACAAATCACAGCAAAATTTGTTTTAGTATATTTTTAACTACCACCAATTAAAGATATCACTTGAAGAACTGAAAGAACCAATGCATCTCACAAGAAACTGGAAACTGTACAGGATACCATGTCAAATTTAAAAATACTAAAAATAATAGTGGAAAAACACTACTAAACTGAAAAAAGCATCAGCAGCTAAATTCCTTGCAGAGCAATGGAGACTGTATCTGCTGGTATGTTTACCCCTATTCATCATCATTGCCTACTATGAAACTTCTTTCTCAGCAATGAATCTGAAGCACAGCCTGAAATGAAAGCACTCATAGTAGTCACYGCCCAGAGAGGAAGGGTTAAGTATTTGGCAGGTATTAACATTAAAATTGTGTCTGTAAAAGCAGCACTTTGATGTTTTAACATTGGATTTCCCCAAGTTATGGCTTGGACATGAYAAACATGACATGATAAACAGGCAGTATCTCCACAATTGAGATTGGACTTCATTTGCTGGCTGGATGTTCCAAGGATTTCCCTGGTCTTTCCAGATCTTGAAACTGTGCTTTCCCTTATCGCTAGTATTTGTCATCCCAGGCTATCTCTGAGCCTCATTTCAGGGACATTTCATTATAAAAGACTGAATAAAAGGTAAGTACACTCAAGGGATGAGAAATTATTTTACAGTTTTCATAAACTGCATGCATGCCATAGCAATTTGGAATGTAAAGGGATAATTCTTACATTAARAATTTCTCTTTTGGGGCTGAAGTACTCCATACTCAATGTCTCACAAATATATCATATTAAAAAACATATAAGCACTATCTTACTAGAACACAAATCCACTGGAATTGAGAAACTCTACAGAAGCCATCATCCTGAACCTTCTAGTGACTGCTTAGAGTAGGTGCTGCTTCAAGAACCCTCCCCAAGGAGATAAGGGACATTAGCAGGGTCTCCTGGGGAATGGAGATAAAAGTGAGACAGCCAAGCCCAGGTTCTTGGCATCGTCATGATAAAAATGTATGTCCTTGAGTGTCTAAAGCTTTGGTTTTGAGAAAGGAAAGCTTTTGCTGTGTCTAAAGCTTTGGTTTTGAGAAAGGAAAGCTTTTGCTGTTTATCCAGCTAAGCCCACAGTAACCAGGAAGCAGTATTTCCGTATTAATGCACTACAGTGTCCTAAAAGCAGTGAGCCTCTTAACCATATCTCAGTTGAATGGAAAGGAATTCCAAGGTCAGGATTCTTTTAAGGCTATGGAAGGTACTATTATTCTGACAAATTATTAATTTACACAGTATCTTCCAGGTTTTATTCATCACTTTAAAAGGTCAGTTGGAACCTGCATTATATTTCTTATTCTACAAAAGACATCCTCTGCAACAACCCACATTCTCTCCCTAATTTTGTGTCTCTGCCAGAAGCAGGGAAGTAGTAATAACCACTATTTTTATATATGAATTATCTAACCTTTTGGGCTACAGAATCTGTGTTTTGTTGTGTTCTCTGCCACAGATTTCTTATGTATGGCTCTGCCAAGCCACTCAGCTCTTCTTTGTCTGTATTCGCTTTCTGCTCATGACTAGGGAGAAGACACATTTCCATTTAATGTTTTTGGCTGCGTAAAGAAGGATGAAAACCCTGCTCTCCCAGTGCTAACATCAGTTTGAAAGAAAGGCTTTTAGGTACTGGTTTCCTTCTGTGCTGAAAGCATTCACTAAAAAAAAAAAAAAAAAAGCAAAAGGAAAAGACACCAAACATTCCTTTCTCCTTCTCTAGTCCTGAGAACAAGATGAACTAATGGAGGAACATACAGAGAACAGCTGTCCTGGCCTCCAGGTGAAGCAAGACTGCAATTTATACAAATAATTATGGCTGTTTTATCAGGAACTGGGATCTGACCAGGCAATAAATGACAGATGAATGCAAAGACAASGCCACTTTTCAGACAGTACAGTGCTATTTGAATTCTTTAGTATTACTACTCAAAACAAGAAATTGTACTACAAACCAAAAATACACAATCTGCCCCAAGACCTCTAGAAGCAGCACCAAAAAGAACAAAGACTTTAAGAAAGAGTGGAAGGGGGTGGAAGATGTATTGCATTGTACAGTCAATAACATATTTAAACAAACTTTCAAATGGTACCTCTTCAAAAGATGACTATGTATTGAATCTAAGCTTTTGTAACCTGTTATTCAAAAAAATGTTCATGTTTCCATGAGACCAATAGGCAAACTATTATATTATCTACTCCTGTTCCTATGTAAAATTAATGAGAATTTGATGTTGAACTGAAAATAATTCTTTTCATCTGTGATATAGGCACATTTTAAACAGACATGCAATAAAAAGGAAACCAGACAATGAAACCATATACAGTAACTATGAGGTGATTATAGCATTAGTAAAACACAAGTATTTGCAAGTTACATATGATCATGTGAAAAAAAAACACAGAATGCAACACAGTACTCTGAAAACATACAGATGACTTGTCTCACTGAAATATAGAAGACCTAGTTACAACAAAAGCTTTAGAATGGAGGTATACCTTGGGAGAATGTCAAGGACATAGAGAAAGCTCTTCGTCCGTGGATCAGATACATCACCTTGCAGGCCAATTCTAAGAAAGAATAAAGAAACACCTGCATATTACTCAGAGCAGACTGACATTTTTCTACAGTATGCTGACACTTTGCTTTGAGTTTCAAAAGGGGATTCTACAAAAGCATCACATACAGGCAGGAGGACCTGCTCACAGAAGGAGTGTCCTGAGCAATGCTCTAAGGAATGAAAGTCTGCCCCTGGAATCCATCAGCTCGCAGCAAGGTTAAAATTGAAGCATTCAGTAATGAAATCCACTCCCCAGTCTGCAAAGCCTTTAGCATTCTGGTCTTGTCCAGCAAAGCCTTTGAACATACTTGGCTCTGAAAGAACAAAAAAAACCCCACTGGGTTTCTGGGAATACCCGGCTATTTTGCACTGAATATATTAAATTATTTCTATGAATTAAAGCCTCATTGTTCACCATTTAGCAGGACTGAGCCCCACATGAATAACTTTGGAACCAATTTTGTAACACTAAACTGGACAGATTATGTTGGTTACAAAAATGATAATGATTCCAGGTCTGCGTTTCCCTAGCTTATACTTGTACTAGCTAATTAAAAAAAAAGAATAAAAACTTTGTAGAAGAGCTTTAGCATGTATCTAAATTAATCAGTCATACACAGATTTTTCTTTTCATCATATTATAAGGAAAAAAAAATCTGAATAAATGATTCCTATATACATCACAGGTTCCTACTAATTCATTTTAATAGACCAGCAGCACTTTACAGGGATTTCTTTTCAATCTTCGAAGATTCAATGAGATACACTTTCTTGCATAATCAGTATTATCACCATCAACAGACTTCTCATGAAGCTACTACTTTGCATGAGTGCAGTTAGTAGAATCTTACCTCTGCGCTATCAAAAATGAATTACAAACTAATCTGACAAATAACATCCCTGACTGAGTAAACTCAGTCCTTACTCAGCAAGATATTTCTCTTYATCATCCACAAAATCATTAAAAAGCCATTATCCTTCCAAGCTTGGCTAAAATAGAAATATTCTTCAGAATAAACTACCTATGTGCATGTGCAATTTTCAAAGTACAAATAAAACCAGATTACACTCTTAAGTCTCAGGSAGAACTAAGAAATTCCAATCCTCCTTCTGGAGTTGCCCCAGGATAATATTAGATTGATACCTAAAAGGAAAGGCAGCACTCCTGAACACYAAATTTCACTATTAGAAGAACAATACAATGCACAAAATAGGTGCTCTACRAAGCTTACTTAACTTAAACTGAATTAATATATACATATGCAAAAAATGTGATCAACAATTAAGATGCAAATTGCTGCACTTCTTTCTGAAGTGTTTACTTCAGTAAACATCACARTGAACCAAGCTAAAACATATTTGCTTAGAAAGAGAAAGATACACAGATCATCCCCACACAGGGTCACTCTTGAAAACATTTCTCCTTTGACCGTACATAGTGCAATAACTTCACTTTTTTCCAAAGTGTGCTATATCTACCTTGTAAATGGCTGACAGGGAGGACTCATCAAAATCATATCAAAAGATAATCTGTCAAATTCTTTCAGTGTAATGCCCTGAAAACAGAAAAAAAAATAGAATGTTGAATGTTATAAACTGTATGAAAYGACTCTCAAGTCATCTTTCATACCAAATTACCCCTCTTACTTCCACTGTATGCTTCATGTAGCAAAAACTATCTAATCTCCCATCTGACCTTGTAATTTCAATATCTCTTCTATGCTGGCAAACCAGAAAAGGCAAATATGCATTCACTATTTTGAATTTAAAATAAAACACTAATAATGTTAGTATTTATACATAATCTTGAGGTTTTAATCTGCTCACTCTTTGAGGTGTGCAGTGGTTTTTTCAGTATATATTGAAACTGTTATTTCTTCCAAAAATCAATTATCGTTGTTCAAATATGAAGTCTTTCATGTTTCAGATGATGAAGTACATCAAAAGCAGTGTTCACATACTCCAAATATGTGAAAAAATACTTGAAAATAAAAGCACCTCAAAAGTAAATATGGTAATTTTTACAGATCCAAACTATGGGCTTCAACACTTAGGAGCTCACTGGCAATGCATCCTGTAAAGTTTATTTCATTCTGGTTTTYGCCCAGTAAAAATTACTCAAAGCTATTGTATGGCTGAAATTCTCCCCTGCAAAGATATTTCTGCTCAGAAAAGAAAAGAAAGAATTAGGTCTGTGGTAGGAACTAACTACACAGGCAGAAATTCCTCTAAACTAAGTTTTCACCAGCACTAGAAGGTCAACACATTAAGGGACCAGGAGTAAAGACGGACAATGATCAAGTAACTATGACTTGGACAAAGAAATCACTCCTTACATAYTTTGAGGAATATCTATATAGCAAATTTAATATAACCACCATCAGAAAACTAGACAAAAGCAGCTATTTTTTTTCCATTAAACTTGAAGAAAGTGTTATTGACTTCAATAATCTGCTCTTGTCTACTATGACACAGGCAAAGATTCTTCTTTTTCCATTATAAAACTATAAACTATCATTTAGCCAGTTATTACTGAGTGCTGAACAAGCATTTAACCTTTAGYCACCTATTTAACTCTTACTTAAGCTTATGTCTTAAAACAGACACAGTATCTTTTACTGTCATGTTGTAAAACTGTAAAAGAAGATTAGGAAGTATTCAGTAATTTCTAACTCAATCCAGGCAAAACTCCATGCCTAGCTTGACTCTCATTTATTAAAACAGAATCCAATTTTACTTAGTTATTTTTCAAATAATTTGGAAAGWGACAGAATTCCTACCTATTGAGCCCATTAAAAAAAATCAAGACCGTTCCATCCAATACATTTTGTTGTGTTTTTCTGAGYTCAACTATAACTACAAAAAAAGGCATGCCCCCAAGTAATTTAAYTAAATTCTTTCCAAGTACATGAAAATATTTTTTAATCTAAAAATACAATTTTTGACATTCCTTTTTTGGTGGTAAGCGTTCCTTTTGACATTTATGTAACCCTTTTTGATGCAGGAGGCAAGACTTTAAGGAAAAGACTGCAGTATGAATGTCCCTCTCACTTCAACAAGCATCCACAGCACAAGGAAACAAAGTTATTGTAAAACTGCTTTATTCATAATARCATAAATCTTTCTGTTTCTCTTGTTACTAATAACAATAGTGAAAACAACTTCCATCAACAAGTGCCAAATTACAGTAAAAAACACATTGATTACTCACCTCAATAGTCTTTGCCCATAACGGTGTGCTGGGAAAGTTGTGCTTGTAAACATCATTGGCAAGAGTGTTCACATCAACAGCAGCAACAACTTCTGCATATGTGCAGCTTTCTAAAATAAAAAAWAATAATAATTTGAAAACTCTAGCTTTTCTTTACTACTCTTGGAAAAATGTGTTTGCCCAGTTGTRTTACAGCATGCTCAAAAACAAAAGGCAAGTGACACAATCAAACTCTGCTGTATTGTCTTCGAAACTTTGCATGAAAACTTACTGTGTTTYTAATCATATGGGCAATACTTCCCATCTTTATATATCCAAAAATGGAAGCTAACTGTGCACTCAATCAGAAGATAAATAAACCCCAAACAGGGCTCATCTCTACAGTGYTTCCACCTGCACTCTGCAGGTCTCTGTACCCAGCAAGTTCCCTGGCTACAGAAACCCCAAGTCAACTTGCCAAGCACCACTGCCGTTGCCTTATCCATTGACAATGGACAAGACACAGCAAAAGCTTTAACACAGCAAGTRTGTTATTTTAAGTTACTACTTCTCATTATGAAAAAATGTTACKAATATATTTGGTGTATGTCTACTCTTCCAATAAAATTTTAAGTTGCCTGAAAGACATTTGTGTGTATATTTCAGTAAAGACGTAGGCCTCAAACTCAACTGCTACCTCCTTTGAGTTAAAAGTAGCCAAAAACACAAACCTGGCAGCTCCTCCTCTCTTGGATAGAGGTGTTGAGGAGAGGACAGTGTAAAAAATACACTCACATAAATAAAAATACACTAAAAAGAATGTAAATAAACAACTGTTAATTTATAGAGTAAGAGAATAATAGGTTCTACAGAAGCTAAAGAGATAGAGCAGTGTTTACTGCATTGTGCATTCACCATGTCACACCATTACTAAACACAATACCTTCACCAAGGCTTTTTATCCAAGAAGATGGGCTGTGGTTACTGCTACAGCCACAGCCAGAGAAGTGACTCTACTTCCTGATACCCAACATCAGTTTCAACCACGAGGATGGTCGGCATTACAAAGCCTCACAAGAAACGCAGGCAATTTTAAAAGATGTTTGTAAACCAAAAGAAACAATGCAAATAGCCACATGCCTTTGAATAATCTCACAATATGCTCAAGTAACACATTAACAAATGACCTTATGAGACAGCTTATGAATTACTGCTAGTCAGCTAATTATTTACAGTTTGWGAGGATGAAAGCCCAACTGGGACGACCCCAGTGGATTTAATTTTGAATGATGCAGTTACCATACATCTACTATCTTTCAARGTTTTCAAGGCCATCTTAGTCAAAACTAAGATGAAAGAGAAAGCTAGGTATTGAAAAGATTGTAGGAGACATTTTAACAAGGACAAAGCCAGTTCTTCCCAGTTTACTTGGTGCAGTTGAGAGCAAAAAGATAAGGATTTCCACAAGATAAATATTTACGGACCMTTAGGGTCAACTTACAAATCATTATTTGCCATTACTGTCTTGACCTTTTGACCATAAGTTGWAACTGAGAACTAAATACAGGTGTATCCACGAGGACAATAGAATGACTACACCTGAGATAACAGAACAGGTATGTTAACACTGACACCTAGCGTGAAAAGAARCTGGATGAATGTCTCAAGTCACAAATATATTCAAGAACCAGCTCTTTCACCTTTCTAAAACAAAGCTGCAGCATCTAAGTAACAGAAACAAATTTCAAATACTTGGTTAAGTGGTTAAGGAGACCACTTTTCTCACTTACTTTTTCAGTTCTTAAAACACATTGTCCTGACAACCTGACCCTTACTGTGTTCTCCARGTACTCCAGAACAAAAATAAAATTTAAAAAATCAAGACTCTCAAATTATTATCTAAATTAACATGTAGTTTAAAAAGGGCAATTGGGAAGGCAAGTTGTGTGCTTTCTCTCACAACTCATGGTTCAAACACTKTTTTACTGACATCCATCCAATGTATGCCTGCATACATGCATGAAAAATGTGAGGATTTCTCAGGCCCAAAAGCCTGGAAATACTGGAAGAGAGCACATAGCTAATAGTAACCTACTGAATCTCCTCGCAATGCAATCTTCAGTCTAAACCAGAGATATAAACCAGCATGGAAAAAGGACAGGGACTTTTCCTGAAGTATTCCACCTGAGATCCTCTCTTACCCATACCATTACCTAAAAACTTTTTCAAAGCTTCTCCTCCTTTTCATTTAAAAATTGTAGCTTGCTTGGGAATTCCTATTACAGAACAGAATCCCTTAAAAAGCTGATTAAGCATATTTGTGAGGAAATACCCTGGAAACGCATGAAGGAGCTGGAGCAGACAAGCAGCTCTCACACATCCAACCTAACAAAGAAAAGCTTGTGYAAAYTTCAAACAATGTGAAAATGCAACATTTTTTAAGAACTTCTCCTGAAAGTTAATTAACTTTATGTCAAACTGTGATATTCTGCTTTGTTATAGCAATTACATTTACTACTTGAAAATTACTAYAAGGAATGTATCATAAAAATAGCCTGAAAGCAGAATCTAAAAAAAACAGAATCAAGACTGTGTTTAACCATCCCCACTGATAAAAGGCACMAAAGCAACTCAGGAAATGCTGACTTGGTGCGATGCTAAATCAACTCTCCAAAATACATAGCAGAACTTCAGTACAGAAACAGACACAGCTCTTGAGACTTTTTTTCCCTCTCAAACAAGTACATCCAATTTTAAAAACACAGCTATTTAGGAAAATTACAACAATGTAGAAAACAGTATCACTTTATTCAGACTAAAGAAAAAATAGTGTACTAAGAAATGTACTAAGAAATGTACTAAGAAATGTACTAAGAAATGTACTAAGTGCACTAAGAAACTAAGCGGCTGCTGGAATACTGGATTTGCAAGATTCCTCCACGCCAGTTTTTGAACTGAGACTTTGCATTTCTGAGCAAGATGATGTAGTTCAAACGGAAGCCACAGACATTATGGGGAAGTTACTGAAGGAGGTGTTATGGTTTATTTTTAGGCAGACTAGATTGTAATATTCTCTCTTGGTTGAAAGAAGGTGAAATCAAATTTRTATTGTCCTATTAGTATTGTACTGATTTCGCATTTAAAACCTCTTGGACTGAACAGCACAAACTCTTTAACTGTTACTGAAACTGCCTAAAGCGGTAGCAATCACACCTTGGGTCCCACTTCTCTACTTTGTTGATTACACAATGCTCATAAGCCCTTTCAGCTATGGAGATGTCATTCTTGAGAAAAAGGGACACTGCTGTAATGACTGGAAGGTGATGCATTCAAAACAAAAGAACACAGGATGCATGCATTMGCTTTTGATTTGAAAAAGTAAACTGGAAGAGTGTCACCTTCAAATGTTAAACATAAAATTTCTGACATTACAATATCTGTCCTTTTCCTCTTCAGAATTGATTCCTTTATCATGTGTTTCTGCAGACCTTAAAATTGACATAGATCTGTTTATATTCACCACTGTACTTCTGCAATAGAATCATCAATGTCAACAGAACACATGAAATAGTCTGTGTTAGAGCAAGGGCAGTTTGGTGGATTTCAGAACACTGGAAAATAGGAGCCAGAACAAGTATCTATTCTAACAGGTATATGGAAAGAGACAGAAAAGGGAAGATTAGTCACATGTTTTGTCAGTCCTGTTTCCTTTTAAAACAGAGAACAAAGTTTTAATTTCTGAGTTGTCAGCTCTTGGCTGAAATGATTACTGTCCATGACTACAGTCAACACGACTATCAGTAAATTTGATACTTGCTTCCTACAGGATACTTAGCAACTTCTGTCACTGCTTTATTTGTACAGGATTTGATCATGTTAAGCCATATAAACTTTATAAACTCACATTATAGCACAACRTGCACCATCCCATGCTACAAAGGGCTGTATTTTGGAGAAGCATTAAATTGAGTTTAGATGTAAAACYTTGCTCAAACCAGCAATATTTTTGTTTTGCATTGTGCTGAATCCTAAAGCTCTTTGCCAGTTTTGTCTCCTTTGCCTCTCCAGGTGGGATAGTTATGCTCAGTGTAAATACACACAGCAGTATATTATGCTGTGTAATTCACAGAGACAATCAAATAAAATTARTAAACAAATAAACATGCATGGCAGAGCATAAGGGACAGAAATTTTTACTCTGTAAAATCGAAATATAACAATTGCAGAGGAAAAATATCACCAACTTTATCACCRCAAAATCATGGTAATTTTTAAAATATGTCCTTTAATGTTTTATGCAAGAAGACTTTTTTCAGGGACCTGGCAGATTACAAATGTTTATGGCAGAGACATGGAACTCCTTCTTCATGGGAAAACTGCCTAAATTAATAAGCCAGTTTAGGTTTGTTTTGATTGTGAAGGAGGAAGGGCAGGCTATTTGTTTGATGGAAAGTTGCTAAGGAAATKAATTTGTAGCCATAGATTTTCTAAAAATAAAACACTATTTTTCATTGCAGAAACTCTGCACTTTATAAAGAACAAATTCACTCACACACACATAAAATAATTATCATAGATTTAGACATATGACTAAAATATCAATCTTTATAAATCCCAAAAGGTTTGGGGTACAGGGTGGGAAGAAAGAAACGCACTTCCATCTCTCATCTGTCTCAATCTTTCCAGAGTGTGAATATGACTCATCGATTTCTAACCACAACTAAGCTCAACTTTCTAAATTGWATATTTTTGTAGCTCTTTGGTGTAAAATATTATTAAAAGCATTCAACATCTAAACCAAGAAATTCTGCATGTGTTGAATTATGTAGTTAAAATACCAATACAGAGCTAGACAATCCCCAAGATTTTTCATTTGCAGCTTTAGACTGAAACCTTAATTCAACAACAACCTTCTCTTCACTGTAAAAAAGAAAGAGATTCAACTATGAAACCATGTATTCATAATTTCTATGTTCTCTTTACAGAGAAACACAAAAGACTATAAACTTCCATGAATGTGAAAATTCAATTATTTCTTACTATAGGTAAGGACAATCTCAAAATTAATTTGAATACTATTTGGTGCCAAATGCATTCCACTTTAATGACAGCTGCCAAAACAACAAACAGCCTCATCCTGCAAGCAATCCTAAAACAAAGTTTTTGAAAGATCACAGCCAAAAAGGGCATCAAGGTAGAAAAGTCAACATCAGATTTCCTGAAAAATACCTATTTGCCAACTGAAACACAGGCAATTTCACAGAAAAGCAGAAAGTTGGATCAGCTAGTAGAAAGTTGGATCAGCTAACCGTAACTGGCCAGGAACTAGCCTGTCAGAGCTGCAGAATCCCTTTTGTAGAACAAGTCTTTCCTGGGATGCTGCCACTGAAATACTCCATGCTCCCTCTGTTTTCAACGTATKCCTATTATTTTTCTTGGCTTATAGATTTACTAGAAATCATACCAAGATAATATATTATTATACATAATCTACATCTCTCATGCATCTGATTTATGAAAGCACTACCACAATGGAGGCATTTCTTTCAAACTTCATACTTACATGGAAAAAAATCCCACAACCCTTCTAATATTCCCATGTATGATTTAAAAGAAAGATGCTGAACAATCTGCCACTTACTAAATGGAGAATAGGATGGGAGAGCTTTTCAAATAACATGGTTTCATGTACGCATGCAGGCCAAAAACATATAAGGAACCCATTATTAAAGTACTTGCAGAGGAACATTCACTTCTTTTCTGTCTTATTTGCACGTAAAAGCAAACACTTCAACGCCCCTTGACTTTACTTTGTTGCTTCATAAACTGTTCAACAAAACTGAATCCAGATGTMTAAAGTACTTTAAAAACTAGTAGAAAGAATCAAAGGCCCAAGTATATCTCCACTTCCAAATGCAATACAATTAATCAAAACCAGTTTTATATAATAACTTGCCATTTAATATTTAATTCAGTACAAATTTCACAGGACCCTTTTTATTCCAATTGCCTTTACTTTTAACAAGACTCTAAACAAAATCATCTTCTAGAAGTCTTTGGTTTGACCTTTTCTAAGACAACACAATACTTATGGGCTGAGTTCTCATACGATTTCCAGAAAAATAATCACCCAGATTGAAAAATGTTATACCGACTGTAATGCAAATAGCTCTGTATCCATTCAGTTCRCCAATTTCAATTGGTACTTGACCATTTTGCACAAGTTAGGGTCATTTACACCATAATTTAAATKTCTTCACAGTTCTTTCATCTGCTTTGGCTGATGCCACTTCAGAAAAATCTCAGTCTCACTGTTCATACTGTAATTTCTTCAGTCAAATGTAAACCCAGAAGAACAGAAATTACAACACAGACTGACACTGAAGCAGTTGTGTTCAGCAAGTTCAGAAGCAGTAAACATGGAAGTAAATTCACCTTTCACAAAATAATACAAGGGTTTAGTTAAAACCTTCAGTCTCCAAACTACACCATACAAGTGACCTGACGTCAAGACTTCACATGTGTAGTAACTATCCACTGGGGSATCATTAATTTTGTGTATCTTCTGGATAAAAGTTTACAATATTCTGATAATCTAATGATGCATTCCCAACATTCCCACCCCTTTAAGTATTTATTGAGTTGCAAACATTGTTTTTGCAGGTGGAACRTCACAGGATATCACATCTACCATTACAATTTATTAACGACTGCAGCACATTACTGAGCTGCCCCAAGACAGCCATTATTATGGCAAGAACACAGCTAGATAATTCAGCAATGAGTAAAGTAACCACGGTGCAGGCTCACTTTCAGGAAGAGTCCACTTTCCATGGAAATATGGAAATTGTCTACAGTACAACAAACATGGATACATCCCCATCACTTCAGAAATACAGGTACTCGAAAAGCAGCACATTGTCCTTAGCATTTAYACTATATACAAGGCAAAACACACTTTTCACTCTACAAAAACTCCAAWATCTGCAGTTCCTGACAAAGCCACATTTTCCTCTTAATATTCTAAGACTGCGTATGGAAATAAGGGAAATACATCCTCAAAACAGGTGGTTACGAACAATGCAGGAACCTACTCCATTGTGGATTTCCATAAACAATAAATATATTAAAACATATTATATATATATATATTTATAAACAAAGTACATGTCTTTTCTTTTCTCAAGAAAAAATAGGATAGTAGAAAAAAACGCCACTCTGACAATTGTGAGTATGTTTGAAGTAAATAAATGATGCTAAACAGATTTCATTCCATAAGCATACTCTTAATATTCCATAGCTCCCTGCAAAAATAGCAAGGTAAGGCAAGTTTCCACCTGATGTTTCCGTGACAATGCTCTCTGCTAATACTCCTAAAGACTGAAAGGATTTGAAGGAYTGTAGTTACAGTTAAAATTATTATGGTCATTCTCATAAATTATACTAATGTGTGTTGAAACCTGGACTTCAATGTAATAAAGTTCAGGGTACTTTACAAAGGAAATCAATAGCCCTCACTCAATTTTTAATTTAGGGAAGCCAACTCACGTCTACAAGACCTGCTGAAGGTCACCCAGGCCGTGCTTTAACAATTCAGCAAACTGAGCTCCAGGCTTTCTTGTACAAGATCAAAAACTCACCTGGGCACATGGGCTGGTGTGAACTCTCTTTACCAGCTCAAATTCCCTATTCGATTCATAAAATGTTCTGCCACCCTCAGACGGACAGGCTCAACTAGGAACATGGCTCAGCTGTTCTCCTAACGATGGCCCATGTGCACGCCAGTGGGAAATCCTGGCTAACGTGGTTACCACGCCGGGCATCTGAATGGTGCTGATCGCATTTGCAGCAGGCCTGTRCTAGACCGAGCACATATTAACAAACACAAAATCCCGGCCTTTCCAGAAGCACCTGCCTGGGCCAAGAAAGGCGCATGGATCCCTAATTTCCGTCCCAGCGTGCTCCTGGATACCTGGTGCCGACACGCCGGGCTGGGGAAGAGGCTATGGGAGAAGAGAGGCCTCCTTTGCCCGCCCCATCGAGAAGAGGGCACCCTGCACAGCCCCCCTCCCTCAGGGGCCGGGGTCCCCGGGAGAGCCCCCGTGGGTGGGGTGTCCCGGGCGGGGCGGGCAGCACCGAGCCCCGCGGGACGCGCCGGTACCTCTGAGGGCCTGGTGCATGCCGCCGATGCCGCTGTACAGCTCCAGCACCCTCAGCGCCGCCATGCTCGGCCAAACGCGCCCGCCCGGCCAGCCCGGCGCCTCCGCGAGCGCCGCCCGCCCGTTCCGCCGCTCTTTGGTTCCCCCCGGCCTGCGCTGCCCCGGAGCAGCGGCCGCCGGGGCTTGGTGGGCGCTCCGGGAGCCACAAGGGGATCGGTCCCGAAGGACGCGGCCACCCCCAGTTCAGCCGCTCCCTGAGGTGTCCGTGGCTGGCTGCTGCCCGCGGCTCCGCCACCTGCGCCCCAMTGGCAGTGAGGGGATGGGAGAGGGACCCGCTGCACCCCGTGCCTCGTTGGGGGATAGGCGGCCCTGCTGCGGGTGGCGCAGGGAGAGAAGGGGAATACAGGATGGCCAAGGGGCTCGTCCTCATTTCTCCTGCTGCGGGTGGCGCAGGGAGAGAAGGGGAGTGCGGGATGGCCAAGGGGCTCATCCTCATGGCGGGGGCTCTGCTGTCCCGCCGGGGAGCAGCTGGTGCCATGGGCTCGGCGGTGCCATGGGCTCGGCGCTCGGGGCTGTCGGCATAGCGACATGTTGACAAGTCCTTTCAAAGCCCGCACAGGAAAGAAGGAAATAACTGATGAAACTGCCCTAATTTGCCCCAGCGCTTCTTGCTAAATTGAGAAGGAAGAGGCTACTCAGTGACACTGTTGCAGACTGTTATGTGGGTTACCCACCRCAGGCAAGCAGGCACCCCGCTATGCCTCAGTTTGCAGATTCATAYTGTAAGTGAAGATGAAACATAAAAAAATAACAAAACCAAATCTGAACATGTTTCTCTACTAGTTTCTTGATGTAATTATATTGTGGTGGACCCTCTTAGAAACCTGTCAAAAATATGGTGGATTTAAGGAATATTTATTTGTTTTCTTAGAAGYTGCCTCATAAAACATGTCATAGTAGCTCCCACCTCTTAACTTGCAGGGGGGGAAGAATTTTTACCTGAAACTGGAGGTCAAAAAAGAGGTAAATCTGCTGCCTTTCAGTGCCTCCAGAATATCAGATGCATCAGCTGTGGAAAAGAGTGGAATTAGAAACAAAACTTCAAAGCAAAAATATCAGTCCTTGCCAGTTTTTCCAAAACAGTGCTGTCATTAACCTGTGGATCTTCATTATCAGAGTCTGGGGCTGCTGCTTTCTTKGTCAGCCATGGAAGTAAGCAGGTGACTGAAACAAGAAATCCAAGTCTACTTTTAGGATTTGTGAAAGTACAGCAGCTGGGGTACCAGAGGAGAGCAGCAGGCATTGCAACCAGCYGCATGCAGGTTTCCAGCATGGGTGGTTGACACAGAACTGAGAGGAAGGAGGGAATCACATGGCACAACAAAAACAGCAATGTGCTTRCTGGAGAAAATAGTCATGGGACAAAGATGCCAAAAGCTCCGGAAAAAAGGAGTCAAGACGATGAAGGTGAAGAGCAAGATTATCAGTTAAGAAGATACATTTCAGTAGAACGCCTTGCAAATATAGGTTCAAGGTAAAAATAAAGAAAAAGGCAACTTTTAGACTRTTGCAATTAGTAAAGCTGACAAATGAGTTTGTTTCTTGTCTTACTATTTCTGTAACCTATAGATCACAGCAATGCTAGATATTGTGATSAGCRGGAGCTGTAATCAGCCAGAAACAGTTCATTTATTTGAAGCTGCCCAGTACCTGGAGTGATCAATATCAGACAGGGAGACAGAGCTGAGACCTGTTTTTCCTTCTCCTTTCCCTGACTCCAAGTTATTTTTGCCATTCACACATAGGAAAAGTGAAGCCTGATGGAAAAACCAGCAGAGATGTCTCTGCTAYGCTGGTGGCAGCAGAACACTCCCTGCTCAGGGGAAACCCTCCACCTACTTCCTCTGCCAGTGGAGTAAACTGGAGAATCTGATCAACATGCCTCCACTCTGGCAAYGGGATTTTATTGGCTTCCTCTTGCAAAGAATGGGAAACACCAAATTTTCCCCTAGTGCTCATTTTTTAACAACTATCAGCAGTCGTTTTGAAAATTCTGTATGTCTGCCCTAACCTGGTTCTTATTATTAATTGACAACAAAAATGAAAACAGGGAATCTGGAAATAGTTACTTGTAGTGCTCTTCACTTTAAAAATGCAAAATCAACATAATAATAACCATACTTTTTGGCTCCAAATTTACATAATAGTATTTAAGGTATGATGCTTGTTTCTGACAGGGGCAATGGCYGAGAAGTGCTGAGATCCATGGCCACTCATATCTTTCTTCTCACAGGAAAGCCCTGAATTATGGCAGAGAGAGGGTGAACCCTGTGAAAGCAATTGTTCATACTTCACTCATAAATTCTTGCTAACATGTGCTGCCACTGTCATGGGGTGGACTAAACGTTGCTCACATTTTGTCTTGTGACMCCAAAACAGCCACATGTCTTCAAAATTTCCCAACTGGATCTCTCTGAAATTTGGCTATTGTGACAGCTCGTTTTACTCATCTCCATGCATATAGGATGGATAAGATTGTTGTAAAACTCAATGAATATTTAGTTTTATTAACAGAGGARATTAATAACAGAGTTAAAGTCCAAAGTCCAGCTCTGGATTCTTTACATTTTTGAGGACACAAGTATGGGCTGTTCTATGCATGAATTGTTGCTCCACTATATGGTTGGCTTTAAATAACAAATAAAAGGCTTTTCTAAAATTATGTTAATTTATTCTAAATGGGCACATCTATAGAACTATGATAATGCATTGACGAAGCAGCTATTTGCTTGACTCTAATATATTTATAGTAAAATATATTTTAAGCAAACTGATCATTTCATGTTATTTTTAAAGCTRTTGACATAAGCAYRTGATATCAGCATTTTCACTGAGACAGCTTTGAAAACTCCTGCCTCCTACCAACTTGCAGCATTTCCTCAATGCAGAAGTTTCCAAAGTTTGCCTACATCTCTGATRAGTGGTATGATACAGGTAATCATGCTACATCTGAAAATGTTGTCGTGGCAACCAATGAACACATCCAGTGAAACAGCTACATGTGGTAAGAGGAGGATGCAAATGAAACCACTGCAATATTTTTGCTTCTTAAAATGCATTAGGGTTGCTAGAAACATTAACAATTAGCAATACTGCCAAAGTACATTGCAGAAACATGCAAAACTCCCTCCCTTAAAATTCTGCATTGTACTTGGCAACTGAAAAGCAAAATTGCAAAATATGACTGGACCATATACTCTTGTCCTCAAAGCGAGAAGAAAAGATTTTCACTACCCTCTTTCTATAACTCACACCGGCAACAAATGCACACAAAACAGTTGCAAGTCTCCTCCCTGCCCTCCCCTTTGCAGCAGAGTCAGCAGGGCCTCTGCCTGCCCCAATTGTGACAGGAGGCTCCTGTGTGCAGTGCCTGTCACTGGGCTTTGTSGAGGCCATGAATGTTAACATCTCARTGTAAGGCTGGSTGAAGAAAGGTAGTGGACCTGTAGCTGGGAAGTGTTTGTGAGCATTTCCTCTATATTCAAGAAATAGAGAGAGARAGCAGGGGAAATCTCCCTYTGCTGATAYACCACATRTTTAAAAGTGCCTTCAYRGTTCTCAGCCAAAACRTCAGTACAAGCAGATATCAAYGTTAGYGGCTGAACAACAAAAATTGCTTCTKGTGTCCAAAGGTCCAATATACCTAAATACCCAAGTGAGGATCAGGAAGAGTGTRCAAACACCTCAGCTGTCTGGAAGGGAAGCTCATGTTCTGGGTCAGAAATCACTGTGGCCAGGAAAGAATGTGAGGCATGTCATACCCTTGCAATGCGACCACTGAATTGAAAAAAAATCACAGAGAGTATAGTACCAATTATTGTTTCCATAACCATTGTCCCAGTAGGTTACTAATAAAACTGAAAACCTTTTGCAGTTTATCAAAGTCAGTCTTTGCCGGATGTAATGTTTCAAGAGGGTATTAATCAGACTTGGTTTCTGCTGAAGTGCTCAGTAAAAGYAGCTGTCAGCTGCAGAGGTGGTACKTCCAGGAAGCCTGCTGGGCTCTGYCCATATGGCTAAGGAAGTCTATGATTTTCATTTATTATTTTCATTGCACATCTGCAAGACGAGAAATGAAACCCACATCAAGCCCGATTTGCCTCAATATATTTCTAAGAACTCTATGCAGGGGAAATTTTTGTAGCTGAAATTACTTGGAAGAGTGATCAGACAAGTTACACAGTAACCTTTTGCTTTTCAAATATATTAATAGCTCCATCTCAGGATTTTATTTTCAGGTTTTGGTGCTAGGTGTATACACTGTAGGGAGTAAGGAATAAAAATATATTGCTTCTCTAATTAAATCTTTACTTCTCTGGTTTAAATATAAATAAATCTGGCCTGTTTATTATGTTTGGCCTGCAGTGGTTACCCGGGCTGGATGAGAGGAATATGTTTACATGATGTTATTGACTTTCTTTTACTTACACATTCCAGTGCTTAACAATTTTTTATATATATATTATATTAAAAATTATATATTCAGTGGATTCAACAAAACAGACTCAGAGATCTGTAAGGCCCCTGCAGTCAGGCAAAAGATTGCTGGTGCAACAAATGTGTTTTGACTCAGACCTTTGAAGGGTGACAGCAGGCACGGAGCCAGGCATTTGTTAAAGGGGGATCAGYTCAGGATGAGGTAATGGCGTGGGAGATCCCAGCTTGCTTGCAAGGGCAGGAGGAAATGATGTGGTGCCTGCTGCTCTGTCAAAGGGAGGGGAGGGGAGATGAGGGAAAGAAAGGAAGTGGAGCTGCTGAGCCTGGATATGCCTCTTAACTTTTTGCTTAAGGCAGGGATTTTCACCTCCAGTATCCTGCTATGATCTGCACAACTTACACTGTGCAAACTGAAAAAGCCTTGTAGCTGTATGTCAGTGTTGGTCACACCTTCTGATCACAAGGCCATTTTGTATCACCTACAGCYTTTGTACACCACAGTCTTGTCTTTTAAGGAGTTCAGCCCCTGCCCAAACTGATTTTTTTTTTCATTCAGTCCCACGTGGTGAGTTTAATCTCTGATTATGACTAGCAGTAG